ATAGGCCAGAGCCAAAGGCTACCTCAATCCATTGATGTCTTGGAAGAGTTGAAGGCACTGGGTGCGAGTTCTGTGCAGAGATTCCAAGCTTGGCCACCAATGCGCACACGCACAAGTCTGAGCACTGCCTGCACATGCGCTGAGCCAATGCCATCTCAGCCAGGCTCCAAGCGCAGCACTTCACACCAGCTCAACCAAACTATGCTTCAGCCTCAGCAACTGTGGCTGTACTGCAAGCAGCTCTTGTTCCTTTCTCTGGATTTCACCCTCAACCTGCTTCAGGAGGGCCCTCTGTTTCTTCTTCTTCTCAAATAAACAGTTCCTCTCGCTTCTACTTCTTTGTGAACATTGCAACAGTGAGCGCGTCACACACAGGCATAGCCTCTCTTCCGTACATGGTCGATTCTGGAGCTGTACCAACAATGATCCCACAAGGGGAGCAATTCACTGAGCACCAACGATTTGAAACCAAACACCATGCCTGCCTAGCAGATGACCATGAATGCTGCATTGAAGGAATTGGATCTGTCACTCTCACTTTTCCTGGTTTTGATGTGGTGCTCTGGAATGTGCTTCACCTCCCATCACTCAAGGAACCGCTCCTCTCTGTGTCGCATGTCCTCCAAGACCCAACTGCTGCGATGCTATTCACTCAAGATTCTGTCTTTCTTCTTGATCTTGCTACCCTCGCATCTCAACACGGCATCAAGATTGGCAAACAACGTGACGGCCTTTACTATCTCATTCCAGTCCAGCACCCAGCCGCACAGAGGACAATTTCAGTTGAGCCCATTGCCTACATATCACCAGCAACTGCACGCGACCTATGGCACCGACATTTTGGCCACATCCACCAAGAGCAAGAACGAGACACTCTCAAGTCTGGTGATGTTGACAGTGCTCCTGCTCCACCACCAAAGCGCGCAAGCCTTGCCTCATTTACAATATGGCAAAGTTGCGGTGGCAACAACTCATGGCCAAACCACGTTTAGATTTTTGCCCCGCTGCAGATGCTGTGCACCGACCAAACTGGAAAGATCAGTACACGTTCTCTTGACGGTTCCAACTACTTTGATGTTATTGTAGACTACGCCACAGGCTATACTTGGGTCAACACTGTCACTCACACAGCAGGTGTCACTCAACGGATAATTGATTGCATTGATTTTGAAGAGCAACTCTTTCCCACTCGTCGAACACTATTTGTATGGGCAGACAACCTTGGTTTTAACACTCAGCAATTTGAGGCCTACTGTATCAACCACCAACCTCCCATCGTCTTCCAGCTTCCTGTCCCTTATGTCAAGGAGGGTGATGGTGTTGCAGAAAATGCCATCAAGGTCATCACTCACATTGCTTCCTGTCTCCTGATTGAAGCTCAGCTTCCACAGTTCTTCTGGTCCAACACAATACGCCATGCTTCATTCCTGCGCAATCATGTGCAACACGCTCCAACCTACGCCACCTTGGAATTTTTGGCTGCCTCATTGTCACACTCAACAATGAGTATACAGAACCTGCAAACTCACAAGACGAAGCTCTCTCCTCGGGCCTCACTTGGACTCTTCTTGGGTTTCGACACAGACAGCAAGTCTATTGCCCTCAGCTATGACTTTACTGCACAGACCATTCTTCGGACCTTGCATGAGCATGTCTTTCCTGGCCTTGTCCGCAGTGACGCTAAGCTTCAATCTCTTAATTCTGATTTCTTAACTTCTCTCTCTGACGATTTTACAGATTTTCCTGAATCTGACAACTCTCCTTCTTTCGAGCCTGTCGAGCCACCACTTGACTCTTACCGTTGATTATCCAACTCTCCTCCTGATGGTGCTCCCTCCTCTCGTACTCGCCAGCAACTTCGCCAGGCTTTCGGGGGGGGACAGCCGCCATCATCATCAACAAACACTTCAGATCAACCTCCAACTCCCCAAGATATGGAAGACGATATGACGATGACAACTGTGGTTGGAACCCTGACACATTCGCTGTCCTCCTGGGTGAAGATGAAGAAGAACCTGAAGAGAGCCTAGCTCCAACAGCAGACCGTGTAACAGCATCCATCAACACTGAACCAGAACCTGTCATTGAATCACCACTTCCACCATCTGTCATTGTCAAAATCAAAGATGCACCAAGTGGACTTGCAAATCGAACAATCACTTGCCATCTCTTGCAACTCTACCTTGCATCAGCTAAACCAGAACCACGCTTCCCAAAGCGCTTCCCTAAAGAACCAATCCACCAATCACAACTCCCACAAGGAGCCCACGCATCAGACTATAACGAAGAATGGACTGCATCTGAGCTTGAGGAGCTTCACTCACTCATTGACGAGCACAAGGTCTGGGAATGGGCAGTTCTTCCTCCTGGCAATGCGCAATGTTCGGGTTTATGCCTACAAACTCGACCCCTTTGGCTGGCTGAAGCGATGGAAAGCTCGTCTTGTCGCATGTGGAAACACCCAACGCGAAGGCATCAACTACACAGACACCTTTTCTCCTGTCAACCAGATCCAGGCCATCTGACTGCTCATTGCAATCAGCCTTGCTTTGGACCTCAAGCACCACAGCATGGATGTCAACACAGGCTACCTGTACGCTTTTCTCAAAGAAGTCATCTACATGCATCCACCAAAAGGCCACAAGCGATTCACTCCAGATGGAAAGAAACTATTCTGCAAACTCCTCAAGAGCCTCTATGGACTCCACCAATCTGGACGAAACTGATTCCTGACCCTTCAAAAGTTCATTGTCGAGAAACTCGGCTTCAATCAATCTCTTGCTGAGCCCCGCCTCTTCTTTCAAGTAGACTCTCAGCAACAAACGTTTGAAATCATCTTGTCTTTGTCGACAACATCAATGTCATGGCCAACACCCCAGCTCTCGTCGCAAAAATTGAGGATGCTTTTCACGCTGAGTACAGCATGTCTCTTGAGGAAACCACTGTCAGCCAAGTGATTTGCATCCACCTCAAGTGCAACGCCGAAGGCATTTGGATGGGCCTAGACGAATACACCAGGACAATTCTCACTGAGGAGAAAATGTGGAACCACCTTGATATTGCATCAACTCCAATGTCTATCACCTTTATGCATGATGAAACGTCAATCGAACTCAGCAAGAGCGACTCAAGCTGGTATCAATCCACACTCATGAAAATTCAATATCTTGCAACACAAACTCGACCAGATATCGCATTTGCAACAAATGCACTCTCCCAGTTCCAACTGAAGCCACGCCAGTGCCATTGCAATGCACTCCACCGCCTGCTTCGTTTCCTCCGAGGCACCTGGGACTACGGATTATTCTGCAGGCAAAGCCACAAGCTGCTACAGCTCTTCACAAACAACACCCTTCAACCAGCTGCATACGCTGACGCATCCTATGGAGGCGAACCTGGAGACCACACAAATTTCTTTCCTCATGGGGGCTGCTGTCTCTTGGGTCTCATGCAAACAACATCGAGTATCGCTATCCTCCACAGAAGCAGAATACTACTCACTTTCTGATGCCTTCCAAGAAGCACAATGGCTCTTAGTCTTATTATCAGAGTTGCAACTCCCAGCACAGCGGCCACTACCAATCCTCAAGGACAATCAATCTGCAATTGCACTAGTGCTCAACCCTCTCACACATGCTCGCACAAAACACATTGACATACATGCTCATTTCCTCGGACAAGGCGTAGCCACTGGAGAGATCACTGTACACTATGTACCAACCAGCGACCAGATCGCAGACATTCTCACAAAACCACTCTCGACGTCTCAGCACCAGCGACTCACCCAACTACTTGGCCTCTGACCCTGCTCCGACCTTTCAAACACCCTTTCAGTTGAAGCCTCAGACACTTATGCACGCTTTGCATAACGGGTGATACACCTATGGCCATTGTGCTGGGGGTGTTAGGCGGAACTGACTCGTTAGCAGCAAGAGGTACAAGTGTGAGACTATACTCACTCCTTTGACCCTGGGATCTGGGCCCTAGAGTGAGGGAAAGCAAATAATAGACTAAAACTAACTTTATTGCGCTGTTGTCTAGGGGGTGTTTCAACCCTATTACTTGCCTAGTCCACAAAGTATCCCTACTGATCTCTCTAACGGGGGTCTCAAACACAAAGAATAAACATTCAGAGGGACAATCCTCTGAGGAATCGGTGCCGGAGCACTGATTACTCGCGTGGCTGCAGGCTGATGCGAGGGGAAACGGAAGGGCACTCCCAAGGGCGCTTCACAACCGCAGAATAAAGAGAGAGAAGAGGGAAACAGGGGTTTTTATCTCAGGAACCTAATCTCAAATCAACAGGAGTGGTTAATAGCGACGGGACGGACAGGGCACAACCTAGCGCCCCTTGTCGCAGACGGTGCTGCAGGAGCCCTTGTTGTCGCCAGTGACAGGGGGGAGAGAGAGAAGGGAGTCGACTATGTAGGGGTCAGAAGGTTGCCAGCAGGGAACTCCCGCTGGGCTGTGTCGGCACAGTCACTCGACCAACGGGCATTATCGCATCACACTCGTATGGGGGTATGGGCAGCAAAAATAATTGCCAGGTGGTCGAAAAAAATATCCCAGAATTGTGCATTATTGGCTGTGGATTCCTGTGGCAGCTGTTTGAACCAGGCCACAGTTTCTCTTACCTGGATGGACAACCCTGGCTCATTCTTTGCCATGGCTGTAGGAAAGCCCAATCTGCTGGCTAGCCATCTCCAGTGGACAGCCATGGGCATTGGAGAGCTGTGCACAGCCACTTTGGACAGCCATCCACTTTGGCTTGCCAAAGTCCACGGTTCCTCCCCAATTAGTTGCTGTGGTGTGTATGTGTGTGTACGTGTGTGCATTTCATGCATAGGCCTTTATCTGTGTGTGCAAGTGTGTTTGTCTGGACGAGCATTGCTCACACTGCGTAGCCTCAGCCCATTGCAACAGATTGGCCAGCACCATCAATCAAAGGCCCTTGAGTTGGATTGAGTTAGATTTAAGCTTGTCAAATGAGATAGTAGGAAGCCTTCTTAGCTCAGCTGGCAGAGCGTATCCCTCGTAGGAGGTCGTACGGCACTTGCAAGGGTAAGGTCGTCGGTTCGATTCCGGCAGAAGGCAGTCTAGTATCAGAACTTTGCTGCAAAATGGTTTGAGGCTTCGAGGTCAGAGCCACCGAGAATGCGCAATGTGGAGGACTCGGGTGTTACAGATGATGGCAGTGAAGTTGGAGTGTTGCACTGAAGCAGAGACAAAGGTCTCATAAGAATGGTGTGGATTGTTAGGCAGACTGACTAGTCAGCAGCAAGAGGTACAAGGTGGATCTGACCCTATTGTGACTATCAGTTATTGTTCTCACAATGCATATGGGAGACCGAGCCACTGCCAATGCAGACCTCGGCGCTGGCTTGTGCTGTTGAACAAATACTCCAAGTATTAAGTGGAACAGAAACCCAGTGTCAACAGTTTTCCTCCTCCTCTGCTCAAGCAGAAAATATAGGAGAGGTTTTTACCCTGTGCAGGTCACACTTGCCTAGCAACTATTACAGCATGCATATCATCATTATGTATCAATTATTCACAACAGAGGTTTTTCTTTCTCTCCAAGTTGGGGAGAAGGACCACCGGCAAACGCACATCTCCACTTCATTCACTCCTTCCACTCACTCACTCAGAGTAGACTGTTTCCAGTAGCAAGTTGAAGCAGTACTTGTTGGTGAACCCACGCGAGATCGATGCGGAGGGGAATGAGGAGGAACTTGCAATACCTCGAGAGCAACAGAGGCTGGCGCGTGTGAAAGAGACGAAACAGACAAACGAGGCGAAGAAGAGGTGGAGGAGTTGTGCCCGCCTTCGCCCCTTTGGCGGCGGCGCGACTGCGACTGCGACTGCGACTGCGGGGCGTTCTGCGTCGGAGGGGTCTTGTCGTCGCTTCCGCGCTGGTTTTGGAGGGACTGCGGGGACGGACGATCGGACTGGGACTGGGACTGGGACTGGGACTGGGACTGGGACTGGGACGGGGGAGAGAGGGGGGCGGCAAATCCAAACGCGGCCAAACGAGGCGCCACCCACCCGCCACCGGACCAACCAACCAACTTCGGACCAGCTCGCTGACGGACCGAGCCGGGCCGGGCCGTGCCAGCAGCAGCAGCCATCGAGTCGATCTTCGACGACTGACGACGACGACGACGACGACGACGACGACGGAAGAAACGGACGGCCGGAGGCCCAACGGATCAAACAAGGACCGCGACAGACCGTGACCCGGCAGACCGACTATACCCTTCACTCTCAGTTCTTCATCCTCTTCTTCTTCGTCGACCTACTTCCCAAGCCTTCTCTCCATGGATCCTATTAACAACAACAACCACAACCACAACCACAACCACAACCACCAACACAGCCAACACAGCAGCCAACCGGGCCTTCCTCTGTCTGCCCAGATTCATAATCATCATTACTATCACCAGCAGCAGCAGCAGCAACAGCAGCAGCAGGCTAATCACTTCCTTCATCGACATCAGTGCCAGCAGCAACAGCAACAGCAGGTAGCCCCGCCGGCGCTCCAGCATCCCAACGTCCCTCTTCAGCCCCTCTCTCGCCCTCTCTCGCAGCTGCAGTACTCCTTCTCTGCCTTCAACCCTTTGCCTTCGTCATCGGTCGTGTTGTCGTACGCCTCGTCGTCCATCGTGCCGACAGGTACCGTCCTGCCCGCAGCTGCCCTCAGCGCCCCCGCACAGCTGCTGCCGCCGCCCGCCGAGGACCATCTTTCGCTCCGATCGTCCGGCGTCGGCGTCCCCGCGGGCGACGATCGGAAATGGTAGAGTGTTAATATCCAACGCACTAGCCAATTTTCTCTTACTAAACCCACGGAAAATCTCCCACACACACCGAAAAAAAAAAAAAAAAAAAAAAAAAGGCCGTGCGCCCCTTGCCGCCAGCGAAAACAAAAGTGCGACGGCGTCCGTCCGTTTTGCGGCTACTGCGCCCGAAAGGGCTTGTCCCTCGCTTGCTCGTACGTCGGCCTCCAACCCGAGCCTGAGGACCACCCGGCGGCCGACGCCGCCAACGACGCCGGAGGGCTTGGGTGGGAAGCGAAGCTCGGTAACGAAAACGGCCCTCTTAAGCCCACCCCCTCGACTTTTTCGCTTCGCTCGCCTCTCACCCAGCCATCCCACGTCCTCCTTCCTTCCTCGCAACCAAAACTCATTCAGCCAAAGTCGACCCCTCGTGGCACGTCACCCCCAGCACCCTCACTGAAATGCTCCTCAAGGCCAGCCTCCAGCAAAACCTCTTCAGCCCCGCCCACTACCCGGACGTCGACGACGCCAGACCCGACGTCGACGCCGCCCGCCTGCCCGCGCGCCCCGGCGCAGACCCCAACGAGCTCGACGCCTTGACCACCGCGTACTTTCGCAGGTGCACCGGACTCATCGAGGTCATGCACCGCCACTCGTTCTTGATGGACCGCGCGGGCGCGCCGGCGTTTTTGCAGTTGAGTTTTTGTGTTTGTACTGCTGGTTTTGTTCGATTCGGCATGGCCCCCTCTCACGCTTTGTGCTTTTGCTCGTTTCGTCGCTGAAAATAAAAAAAAATAAACAGAGCGGCCATTTGCGCCATGGGCGCGGCCGACGCCTCGCTCATGACTCGGCCAAAGAGCGTGGCGCTGCACTACTACGAGTTTGCAAGGTCGAGGGCCCTGGACGCTTGCGACTCGCCGTCGCTCGAGAACATGCAGGCGCTGTTGATTCTGGCCGAACTGTCGATCCGTGAGTGAGTCGGATCGTTTCATTCCCGTCCTTTATTAATTGGTATTTTTTTTTCGTTTTCCCCTTGCCTTCTCAAGAGCTCGGGAGGTTCTCCGTTGGACGCCTTCTCTTTTCCTTTGCGGGTCGAATGGTTTCTATCAGTTGTTTCTATCAATCTTCTGCACGCACACCTCATCGGCTCAACCTAACCCCCTCGCTAACTCCCCTACCCCTGCCAGACACAGATACTGGAGCTGGACACGGATCCAGATGACTTACCCCGTTCCTTCTCGCCTGTCGAGAAAGAGACGAGACGGCGCTGCTGGTGGATGTGTTACTTCTTGGAGAGCTGTAAGCAGACTCGGCCCCCCAACTGGACCCTTTCATCCACACACTCATGGACCAGAGAAAATTGACGTATTTAACCGAGCGCAACCCTCTTTTTCATATCCAGACGTAGCCGCCATCAGCCACCAGCCTTCGCCACCCAACCGGTCCACAGTCATGAAGCCAATCTGCCTCGACGAAGTGTGGCGTTCCAACGAGCCCAGCGCCGTGGCTCTGATCGCGCCCTTGGCGCCCGACAGCTCCTTCGACGCATACATAAAAAGCCACAACGTTTACGTCAGCACCATCCGCGCCTGCGCGAAACTCAGCAGCGCGCCAACCCTCTTCGAACCCGACCTGCAGCGGCTCCTCGAGTGCGGCGACGCTCACGACCAGTTCAGAATGACGCTCCCCGACAACATCTCCGTCGACAAGGACCGCATCGCCGACTGGCTCACCCCCGACACCGACGGCACCGGCCTCCCCTCCGTCGTCCGGTGGCGCATCTGCGTCTTTTGCACCTACCACTCGTCAACCCTCCTCCTCACCAATAGACACCTCCTCAAACTCCACCCGCGCGGGTACGCCGTTCTCCCCCGCGCCGACCGAGACGAAGGAGTCGACCTCCGGAGCCTCCAGCTCGCCGTCGAAAGAGGTATCGACGCGGCCGCCGCCATCGTCGCCCTCGTCGCCCGCATGAACGACCTCGCGATACACTGCCCGAACCTCGCGGTCCTCCCCGTCTTCCTCACCGCACACTTCCTTGTCATCCTCGACGCCGCCACCGCCGCACTCCCCTCCCTATCCCCGCCGCCGCCGCCGACCCGCCGCCGCTCTCGATCCCGCGACGCCGCAGCGGCGGCGGCGGCGGCGGCAGCCGGAAACCCGCAGCAGCGGCCGCCCCCGCCGCCAGCGCCGACGCGGGAAACCCCGCGCGCCCTCCTCGCCCACATCGTCACGCACTTCAGGCTCGCACGGACCGTCCGCCCATCCCTCTGCGTCGGCTTCCGCGCCTTCTCCGGCCGATGCGACCTGGGCTGGCCCGGCATGGCCGCCTTTATTGCGACAACCCCGCTCGCCCCCGCTGAAGCGGCCGCCGCGACACCTCAGTCTACGGCGAACTCGGATGACGACGACGAGGGAGGAGGTGACGACGACGGCGACGGGACGTCGCTCCTCGACACGGCCGTTGCGAGCTGGCTCCAGGCGCCCGAGATGACGACCCGGTTTGTTGGCGCGCTCGCGTTCGCGCCGCTGTGGAGGGCCGTGTGCGGTGTCGTCGGACAAGGAGGCGAGAAGGGCCGCGGCGAAGGCAGAGAAGGGGACGACGGGGGCAAGGACGGCGGCAAGGACGCCGGCGAAGGAGCCGAAGGCGCGGCGGAGGCCGGCGCGTGAGGAGAGGAGATAGGCGGGCTTGGGGTGGTGGTGGTGGTGGAGTCGGGTGGTTTGTGGGGGGTTTGAACGGCCGTTTTGAAGGGAGGTGGTTTTTTAACTATGTTTTTTTTTTTTGTTTTTTTTTTCCCCTTCAGATTTTCGGCAAACCTTACACTTCCCTCCACCTCTATTTTTCCTTTTTTTTATTCTCTCTCTCTCTCTCGTTCTGCATCTTCGCTTCATTTCCCTGGTTCCTTTTTCGATTTTCTCTCTCCCTATTTTGTTTTAATGTCTCGGTTCCGGTTTTTTTTTTTTTTTTTTTGTTTTTCTCATTTAAGGCTCGTATGTCATCTCTTCGTGTCATATAGAAAAGCAACACGCTAACGCTGATGTCCTGGTTTAGTGCAGAGTGGAGGGGGGTGGTGGGTACGGCAGTTTGCGCAGGCGTCGGCGCGCCAGCCAGCCAGCCAGCCAGCCGGCTGGAGCTTAGGTCCGTCCTCCTTCCTTCCTCCTACTTCACGAATACAAGGCGGGTGGGGCTCCCGCAAAAAAACACCACCGCCTTGGCTGTCGGTTGTCCGCACCCCCGTCACCGCACAAATAGCGTGATGTACTAATCCACTGTAGACAGACTTCAATTCCATCATGGGCCCACGCAGGCTGCACTTGGAG